ACTCAATTTGCACTATTTCTGGCAGTCTGCAAAGGCCCTCAGTTACCTTAGGTGAGTCACACTCTCTCAGCCTCAGAGAGGGTGACCTCCTCTGAGCAAAGCTAGGCCAAGAAAACCTCCATGATTTTGGCCTTAGGGTGGCCAAAAGACAAAACAACCTGTTGGCACACAACAACAAGGACAGCTGCAGTCTGATTATCGCACGTTGAGCCGAGAGGAAGAAAACCCTCTGAAATGCCTGGAGTTGCTGTAACAGACAACTTGAATTCACATTTCTGGCACTGATTTGTACAGCGCTTTAGCTGCCGCTTTGATACCACTTAGCTGCCTCTAAGGACAGTGTGGTTAGCCTCTATTTATACCTGCCTACTACACCTACTGGGTGACCTTAAGCAAGTCACACTCTCTCAGCCTCAGGGAAAGGGAAACCCCCTCTGAGTCCATATCTTGCCAAGACAACCCAGTCGCCTTATAAATGGGGGGAGGCACAGAGCAGCAAAGCCCACTTTAAACAGAGGCTGGATGGCCATCTGTCGGGGATGCTTTGATTGGGAGTTCCTGCATGGCAGGGGGTTGGACTGGATGGTCCTTGTGGTCTCTTCCAGTTATGATTCTATGATTCTATGACTGATGGGGCTGAAGTGTTTACTCAATAGTAAATCCCCAATAAGTCAATTTCAGGGAAAGAGATTCCACCTCAACATTAGGAGGAACTTCCTGACAGTAAGGGCAGTTCGACAGTGGAACACACTCCCTCGGAGAGTAGTGGAGTCTCCTTCCTTGGAGGCCTTTAAGCAGAGGCTGGATGGCCATCTGTCAAAGGGGGTGCGTGGATTGGGAGTTCCTGCATGGCAAAAGGGGCTTGGACTGGATGGCCCTTGGGGGTCTCTTCCAACTCTAGGATTCTATGATCCTGTTCCCTTGAGGACTGGGGAAGCTGTGTGATCTCCTTGATCACCATGGGCCAGGCTGCCTGGGGCTGATGGGAACTGGAGTCCGACATCTGGAGGGCCACACAGCTGGAGAAGGGGTTTAGGATGGGCTCTCCAGCTCCAGACTTTCGCGATCCACTTTCCCAAAGCTCGCTTCGGTGGTGTTTTGTTTCCCCCCTATTTCTTCTTCCTTCCTATTTCTGCGGCGGAAACAAACTCCGCGCGTGTTGATATCAGTCCCTCCTTTCTCACCCAGACCTTCCTTTTTCTTGAAAGAGAAGGAAAAGGGAAAGAGAAAGATCGGGGAGGCAAAAGGGGCGAGGGACCAAAAGACGAGGCTATTAAGAAACAGAAGCTGCCCAAGAGAGGGCTGAGTGTATTAAGAAGAAGAGGAGGAGGAGGAGGAGGAATCATCATCATCATCATCATCCTCTATAGGGTCTCCATGAGTCGGGGTCCACTCGAGGACAGCTATCGACTAATAAATCTTATTCTTTGTTGTTAACTGTCCTTGAGTGGACCCCGATTCGTGGCAACCCTATAGAGGATGATGATGATGATGATGATGATCATCATCATCATCATCATCATCAAATAATCATCAAATAATTATTATTGTTGTGAACTTCCCCCGAGTCGACCCCGATTCAAGGCGACCCTGTGAATGAGGATGATAATAATAATAATAATAATAATAATAATAATAATAATAATAATAATAAAAAATCACCAATAGCTAATGCTCATCCTCATCCTCAATGATGGATGTAGATGATGATGATAATAATAATAATAATAACAACAACAATTCATCCTCCTCATCCAATAACTGGGGACACCAACTCCTATCTAGGATGAGGATGAGGAGGATGAGGCTTGAAAAAGTATCTCAGCCTCCAGCCTTCGGCCGTCCCAGCAAACTTCATCATCCGGATCTCCTTTCTTTTTCCTCTCTCTCTCTCTCTCTCTC